TAAAGCCAAATATTACAACAAAATGTGCAAAAATCTGGAATCAGAAAACCAAAAATGAAGAACATGCTCAGCATTTCTCAAGCTGGGACAACTGAAGAAAAAAATCAATCCTCGACTTTCGTTATTGAAAGATTCTCTGAGCAATTATTGAATAATGCTGAAAGCATCAAGAGAAGGTGGAAGGAATACACACAGTCACTGTACAAAAAGGAAATGGTTAATGTTCAACCATTTCAAGAGATAGCATATGATCAAGAGCCAATGACACGCAGGGATGAAGTCCAAGGTGCATCGAAGGAATGGGCAAAGAACAAGGCACCAGGACTTGATGGAAAAAAATTGAAATCTTTCAAGAAAGTGAGGTGGCACAGGAAGTACTCACTCATCTCTGCCAAGAAATTTGGAAGACAAATATCTGGCCGAGATTGGAAGAGATAGTATTTGTGCCATTCCAAAGAGAGGTGACACAACAGAATGGGGAAATCATCAATCTTTTTGATATCCCATAATGAATAAAGTTTTGCTAAAGGTAATACAGAAGTGGGTATAATCATACATTAAAAGAGAACTAGCAGAGGTTCAAGCTGGATTCAAAAGAGGACAAGGAATGAGGGCTATCATTGCTGATGTCAGATGGATCTTGATTGAAAGCAGAGAATACCAAAAAGATGTTTACCTGAGCTTTACTGACTATGCAAAGGCTTTCTATTGTGTGGATCATGACAAGTTATGGACAACACTGCGAAGTATGAGTATTCCCGAACACTTAATTGTGTTCATGAGGAATCTGTACCTGGACCAAGAAGCAGCTGTTCGAACAGAACATGGGAACACTGGATAGTTTAAATTAAGAAAGGTGTGCAACAAGGTTGTATTCTTTCACCATACTTATTCAACCTGTTTGCTGAGCAAATAATCCAAGAAGCTGGGTTATATAAAGAAAAACGTGGCATCAGGATTGGAGGATTGTTAATTTCATTAACAACCTGTGATATGCAGATGATACAACCTTGGTTACTGAAAGTGAAGAGGACTTGAAACATTTACTGAAGATCAAAGAGCACAGCCTTCGGTATGGATTACATCTCAATGTAAAGAAAACAAAAATCCTCACCACTTGACCAATAAAATAAACAACATTCTTATCAATGGAGAAAAGATTGAAGTTGTCAAGGACTTCATTCTTCTTGGATCAACTATCATGGAAGCAGCAGTTAAGAAATCAGGTGATGTATTGCATTAGGCAAATCTGCTGCACAAGACCTTTTTAAAGCATTGAAGAGCAAAGATATAAGCTTGAGGACTAATGTTCGCCTGACCCAAGCCATGAAGTTTTCAATAACCTCATATGCATGTGAAAGCTGGACAGTGAATAAGGAAGACTGTAGAAGAATTGATGCTTTTGAGTTATGGTGTTGGAGAAGAATATTCAAAGTGCCATGGGCTGCCAAAAGAACAAATAGATCCATTTTGGAAGATGTGAAGCCAGAATGCTATTTGGAGGCCAAGTCTCTCATGCTTCAGACATATTGTCAAAAGGGACCAGTCACTGGAATAGGATTTCATGTTTGATAAGGTAGAGTGTCAGAGAAAAAGAGGAAGACCCCCAATGAGATGGACTGGCCAAGTGGCAACATCAATGGACTCAACAGTAGTGAGGATGGCCCAGGATCGGGCAATGTTTCGTTCTGCTGTGAATAAGGTTGCTATGGGTCGGTACCAACTCGATGGCACCTAACAACAACAACAACAACAACAATCACTTCCCTCATCCTCCGTGGCACAAGTCACAGAACTGAGATAGTGTCAAAAGAACTTGAACAGTGAATGCTTACCATGCTAGGCATGTTGGTAGGAGGAACAGCAAAGGTTTCCTCTTGTTAAAATAGCATGCCAGTCTCTGTCTTTAAACACACTGGAAATACTATTTGAGTCTCTCTAAATGCATGCGCTCAAAGCTCAGCTTTTGGTACCCTAATTTCGGACTTCTAATATTCTAAAATATGAAGACTATAGAAGAATTGATGCATTTGAGTTATGGTGTTTTATAGGATCACTATGAGTAATAACTGATTCAACACACTTAACAACAACATGTGCTTATTTAGAAACTTCTACTCGAAGTATGTCTTAGTCACAAGGTGTAACTCTTTAAAATTATATTTCTATACCTGTAGGCCTTTGTATATTTAAACAGAACCATTAAACTTTTATAGATTATCAATAATGCTTCCAAAAAATAAAAGATTCCAGTATTTACAATAATAAATTCAGAGGAAAGGGAAACGTACCCTATACGTTATCAGGCTTTACAGATTAAATCTTTGGCACTCTCCATATTCAGTTACTTATCCATTCATCCGTCTGTCCATTCACTTACATATGCATTATTGAGCACTTCTTATGTGTCAAGTGGTTCAAGAAGTCAATAACAGAAAACAACACCAGGACTTCTTGGAAGATGGAGGTACACGCAATTTCACACTTCCATGCCTGCACCCCTCTTCTTGATCCCCCAGTCTCATCCCCAATCACCTAGGTGTTGTTGTTGTACCAACTCATAATGACATTATGCACAATAGAACACTGCCCAGTCTTGGGCCAACCTCACAATCATTGCTACGTTTGAGCCCACTGATGCTGCCACTGTGCCAATCCATCTTTCTAGGGGTCTTCCTCTAATTCTCTGATCCTCCACCTTACCAAACTGGATATCCTTCTTTAGTGACTGGCCCCTCCTGACAATATGTCTGAAATATGAGAGACGAAGTCTGGCCCATCTTGGCTTCCAAGGAGCACTATGACTGTACTTCTTCCAACACAGATCTGTTTGTTCTTTTGGCAGTCCATGGTATTTTGAATATTCTCCTCCAACACCGTTAAGTCAAATGCATCAATTCTTCTGCGGTCATAATTATTCACTGTCCAACTTTCACATAAATATGAGGCAATTGAAAATACCATGACTTGAATCAGGTGCACCTTAGTCGTCAAACTGACATCTTTGCTCTTCAACACTTTAAAGAGGTCATGTGCAGCACCTAGGTAAACAACCAGTCTTGTGTAGCACCTAGGTAAACAATTACCCAGGTAAACAATCAGAAATTGGTAAACTCAATTCTGTAAGAACTCTGAAAATGACAGGAATGTAGTGATCAAGAGAATGCTGACTCAAGAGCAAGGTGACTATTAATCAGTAGGAAAATGTATTTCTACTGCCTGTATCCCTCTGGCCTAGTGGTGGACTACAGATTGTACTCTTAGCGAGAGGATAAGATGTCTGGCTAATGAAACTGAGCAGGCAGACTTGGCTAGTAAATTATGTTTTATCTCTACTCTGACCTCTCTGAAGTTCCCTGAAGCAATGAAACAGAGCATCCCTTTTACCTTGGCCTATGTCAGAGCTCACATGGAACAAGGGGAAGTGGTGAGCAGTACCGAAAAGGCTGTGATTGCCTTTGCTTGCCTAACACTAAATATGACAGGAGCACACAATGCTTCAAGTTGGAAAAGATGTCAGAGTGAGACTTTATTCCAAAAATTAGAATCTTCAAAAGCTTGTATAGGAATTAAGAAAACCACATACGTGCTCAGGGCAAAATGCAGGTGCAAAAAATACCTGAGACCCTATGCTTTCACCTTAGGTTAATCCTCAAACATACTGAAACCATGCTGAGATGTTAAAAGGCAGCAATGCACAGCAAGCCTACCCCTAGAACCAATAGAGATCAGGTCTTCCCCTATAGTTGGCATGCTGAATTCAGACTTCTAGCCTCCTAAACTATGAAGACTATATAAGAATTGATGCATTTGAGTTATGGTGTTGGAAAAAAATATTGAAAGCATCACAGATTTCCAGAAGAACAAACAAATCTATGTTGGAAGAAGAACAACCAGAATGAGTCTTAGAAGCCAGAATGGTGAGACTTCATCTCTCATACTTAGCCTCTCATATCTCTGACATATTATCAGGAAGGATCAGTATCTTTAATCATCCTAGGTAAAGTGCAAAAGGGGAAGACCCCCAACAAGATGGACTGGGCACAGTGGAGCAGCAATGGGCTCAGGCTTAACAACAATTGAGAGGATGGTGTAGGACCAGGTAGTGTATTTTGTTCTGTTGGGCAAAGCTCGTTGTGTGTCGGAATCGACTCCACGACACCTAATAACAAACTATGAAAAAATAAATTTGCTTGTTAAAGCCATTCACTTGCCATATTTCTGTTGTAGCACAGTAGTAAGAAATCATGGTATATTTAATTGCTTCATGTGTATGTTGAAGCTGTAAATGAATAAAGAAGACTGAAGAAAAGCTGAAATACATGAATTAATGGTATTGATGAAAAATACAGAATATACCATGGACTTCTAGAAGAACAACTCTGTCCTGATGAAGCATAGTCAGAATGCTACTTAGAAGTAAAAATGACAAGATTCTATCTCATGTACTTTGGACATGTTATCAGGAAGGACCCGTCCCTGGAGGACATTATGCTTGGTAAAGTAGAGGGTCAGTAAAAAGTGGGAGACCCTCAATGAGATGGAATGACAGTGTCTGCAACAACAGGCTCATAGATAGCAATGATTGAGAGAAATGAGTAGGACTGGGCAGGTTTCATTCTGTTTTCATAGGGATGCTCTGAATAGGAATTGACTCGATGGCTCTAACCAAGTATATTTAATGCAGGCAGAATACTCCACTCAGCAATATCAAAATACACATTCTTCCTCTATGCGCATGGATAATTTTTCAGGATAGACCAAATGCCAGATTACAGTTAATTTTAAAAGACTGAAATCATACAAAGTATGTTCTCCAACCACAATGAAATCAAACCAGAAATCAGTAACAAAAGGCAAATAAGGAAATTTCATAAATATGTGGAAATTCAACAACAAATGGGTCAAAGTATGAACTATGGAAGAATTAAAAAGAAATTAGAAAATAATGAGACAAATGAAAATGAAATAGATGTTATTGATTTTCCTATTATACTTACATCTCTGTGCCCACTACTAGCAGAATCATGAAGTGGAGTATCATCATCTAATCCTTGTGTGTTAACATCTGCTCCAGCTGCTATAAGTATCTTAGCAACATCATAATACCCAACATTGCAAGCTTCATGCAGTGGTGTCCAACCTACAGTGAGATATTAATTTAAATATAGTTCACTTACACTAATTCAAGGTATATGTTTGCTTGAATCATGAGCATAGCTATATGTACCATATCAATACTAAATGCACAGGTGCAAAAGAAAAAAACAAGTGAAGAAGAAACTACTGAAACCAAATAGCTAAGAACAGCAGCAATTTTATAAAAATCCTCAGGTTTCAGGGTTTTCACTTGTTTAGCTGACACAATATTTTCTGGACTTAATACTTATTATAACTAAATTTATTGTTTTAATTACTTTTGTAATAAAAAAGCTTCATGCTTACTAATGAAACATGAAAACACACACAAAAAATACCATGCAGAAAATATATTTCCCATAATCCCAACATCCAGATAAAAGGATTTTACATATCTAAAACAAAACTTAGATGGATTTTTTTCTAACCTTCATGTACTTTCTATAGTATAATTCCCTGTGATTACATTTTTCTACAATTAAATCCTTAATTTATTTAAACTATTACCTACTATTTCTAATTTTTAGATATTGGAAGCAATGCTAAAATGAATATCCTTGTGCACATCCATGATCAAATATTTAAGATAAAATTTTTAAGTGGGAATTTTAGATCCAAGCCAAGAGTCATTTTTGAGGTTCCTGATATATAACATCAAGTCTTCCCCTACAATAAATGCTATGAATTTAAGTCTCATTCTTTAAGAGTGGTCTTAAACACCATCCCTTTCTCCACTGATACCAAATACAAAATTAATTTTCCGTTATAAGAGGTACATGTAAAATTAAAACAAAATTTAAGAAACATAGAATACTTTCATTAATCTGGAAGCAAAGAAGGCCTTCTTAAATAAGATACCAAACTAAGAACTGATAAATAAAAAGACTGATGTAATTACATAAAAAAATGAACACTTTCTTACAAATAAACAATGTAAAACAAAGGTTATGCATAAACCAAAGGCAGTGAAAACCTTTATGGCAAGCTTGATAGATGTTATGGCTTGAACTGTGTTTCCTAAATATCTGTGATGTATATCTTAACACATATGAATAAAGGCTCTGGTGGCACAATAGTAATAAAGGTCAGCAGTTTGAACCCACTAGGTGTGCCTTGATTATATCAGGATTGTATCAAGATTGACACCGAAATTTAAAGAGACAGTATAGACATAAAACC